AGTCATATAAAAAATGGAAAGTAGGACAAATTACAAAGGATGAATATAGGCAAACAACACAGGAATGCAGGAGCAAGATAAGAAAGAGAAAGGCACAAAATGAGCTCAAACTAGGTACGGGAATAAAGGGAAACAAGAAGATGTTTTATAAATACATTAGAAGCAAGAGGAAGACCAAGGAGAGGGTAGGCCCACTAGTCAGTGAAGAGGGAGAAATGGTAACAGGAAACTTGGAAATGGCAGAGATGCTCAATGACTTCTTTGTTTCAGTCTTTACCGAGAAGTCTGTAGGAATGCCTAACTTAGGGTACGTCTAAACTACATGGCTCCATCGACGGAGCCATGTAGATTTGTTGTTTTGGCAAAGGTAAATGAAGCTGTGATTTAAATAATCGCCGCTCCATTTAAATTTACAGGGCTGTCGCGCTGAGCCGACAAACAGCTGATTAGCTGTTTGTTGGCTCAGCACGGCAGCCATGTAAATTTAAATGAAGCGGCGATTATTTAAATCGCCGCTTCATTTTCCTCTGTCTGGTAGCCTAATCTACATGCCTCTGGCGACGGAGGCATGTAGTCTAGACGTACTCTTAGTTTTGTGAGATCTTTTTTAAGTTCTTCACAGTCTGCTTTGGTCTTAACTATCTTGAGCAGTTTAGTATGAATTGCAAACTTTCCAGCCTCACTGTTTACCCCTTTCTTCAGATCATTTATGAGTAAGTTGAATAGGATTGGTCCTAGGACTAACATTTGGGGAACACCACTAGTTACTCCTCTCCATTCTGAACATTTACCATGACGCAAAGTTTTTAAGACCAGGCTTGACAAAGCACTGGCTTTAATGTTTAGTTGGGGTTAGTCTTGCTTTGAGCAAGAGGTTGAACCTGAATACCTCCTGAGGTCTCTTCCAGCCCTAATCTTCTATGATTATGTGATTCTGTGAATTTCATCTTTGATTAAAGATAATGACAAAGAACTGTGCTTAAAATGGGGAAGGGGGCAAATCAAATGCACTATAAACAGTAGCAGTGCTGAAAAGGATCTGAGGTTATAATGGATCACAATTTGAATATCAAAAAATAATTTGATGCATTTGCAAAAAAAACTAATATTCTGTGAAGTGTTGACAGGAGTCTCATTCTAAGACATGAGAATAGCTGTTCTGCTTCACTCAGCATTGGTGAGATCCCCATTTATGTAATCTGGGCACATTTTGTCTTGAGAAAATAAGACTATGGGGGACTTAACGGTTTTATAAAAAGGACGGTGATCAATTTTTCTCCACATCGACCAAAGGAAGGACAAGAAATAATGGTTTTAATTTACAGCAAGAGAGACTTTACTTTAGACGTTAGGAAACACTGTCTAACTATCCTTATAGTTAAACACTGGAGAAGTCTTCCAAGTGAAGAAATCCCCATAGTGAAAGTTTGAAAGAGTAGGTTTCTAAGTTTGTCAGGGATGGTCCAGGCATACTTGGTCCTGCCTCAGCACAAGAAGTTGGAGTAGATGACCTCTGTCTGTCCCAGCCCTCCTTTTATATGATTCTGCATATATTCTGTCATCCCATGGATGGCTAATTTAACTTGGATCATGACTTCCAGAGTTTTTCTGAAAAAAAACTCTGTAGTATAGACATACCCCCAGAGAATAACTTTTAAATAATAGTTTAGCATGTATAAGTATTCATAGCTAAAAATGGTTCAAAAGAGAAATGTGTACATAACTTTATCAAGAACACATAAGATTTTCATCTTCAATTTAAAGGTCAAATAGAAGCTATATAGAAATTATAAAATCATTTGAATCAGTGAATCACTGCAAGCTGTCTGCTGTATCTCTAGATTTCAGAGAGATATGGGCAAATTCTCTTCCGTAGGAGGCATTTTAGAACTCATTCAATACAAGAGTACCCATAACATTGGCTACCTACTTCTACTCTCCAATCCTCATAGCTAATGTATGTTTACTCTATTCTTGGCAAGGCAGGTTTAGATTCAGTTGGTCTTTCTTGTTTATACCAATCCAGGTGTGCAGCTCACACTCTCTAAAATTGGTTTTAGTGGGAGCTGACCATCTGTGTAAACTTCTAGGGCTAAATTCTCAGTCCTGTTATGTTTGTTCTGCAATGCTTTGGTGGTGCAAAGCAGAATTAAAGGGTGTACGATCCAGTGCATATAATACTACCCTATGATAGTCCTGGGTTCAAATCTGTGCTCCACCACAGACTGCCTCAGTTCTTCTCTCCACAATAAGGATAAAAGTACTTCCTGCATCATAGCAGTACATGAGGGAAAACATAAATTGAGACTATATCTTTACTGTAGAGTTTGTCCGGAAAAATGGCCATTTTTCCAGAAAAAGTACAGTTACATTCACACTGCAATTGCGTTCTTTCAACAGAAAGACGAAAAAACACAGGGGTTTTTCTGAAAGCGGTAAACCTTTTTCTATGAGGAAGAAGCCTTTTTCCAAAAGAGCTCTTTCGGGAAAAAAGCATGTGTGGATGGGGAAGAGGGTTTTTTTAGAAAGAAGAGGCCTCCAGGAAAAGCACAGGTGCCATGGTGATCACTCTGTCCACAGCCATCAGAACTTAAATGCGAGATAGTGTCCAATGAATGTGGATGCTATCTTTTGAAAAAGCACATCGCTTTTTCGTTGTGCTTTTGCTGTGTATTCGCTCTCTTTCGAAAGAAGTTTCTCTGAAAGATCTCTTCCAAAAAAGCTTCTTCTGAAAGAAGCCTGCAGTCTAGACATAGCCTAAAAGATTATGAGGTGCTAAAATAGCAAGGTGTAACGGGGATCACCAAAATGCCTTAGATATAAGGAATGGTACGGGTTGCCTATATGGCCAGTTAAGGATTTCTCCAGTGGCTCTGAGGCAATATACCCAGCCCTACAGCCCTCAGAGCATGCCTACTGTGCTTTAGCAATCCCCAGCTCCCAGACCAGCTTTACCTCAGGCAGGGTTTACAGAGGAATACAGGTAACATACAACAACTTTGCCTACCCCTGCACAGAGCATAGTTTGGTTGTGCAGCAATCAGACTTCAGCAGTCCTGAGGTTTAGATTCCTAATGTATAATTAAAGGCATGTAGAGTCTCGACAATGCTTGTCTACTGGGAGCCTTTTTAAAGCTGGATCTCACCGCACCTCTGAATACTTTTTATACAGAAGCTATTATTCAAATGCTAAACGTTGGACTTTAAGACATTAGCAAAATGATCTTTTTTACTGCCAGTTGGAAAATTCACTTTTCCAAAGATGAACTAAGATGCACTTGTTACGTTGATGCCTTAGAAACCAATTGTTCTCTGTCATATGCTTGCAGTAATAAAGCTACCCAGAACCACACAACATCCACATGCCCAATGTTGTAGACTGAAATTATGTTAATGAACACATATTGTAAAGTTACAAATTCTGTTCTCTTATCTCACAGCTCATTCTCATAATTTAAAATGGATTTGAAAAAGAAAGCAGAATCTGAGTTCAAATATGGATCAATGGAGAGGCCTAATAGTTCCCAATACATTGGCCTATGTCAGGGAGTTCACAAACATTTCGGTTTTATAGATGGCATCATAAAGTAGATTCCTGACGATCACCTTCGCTCCCATTCAGAGTTGCAAATGATTCCAGTTGCTACTACAGCAGTTGTTCACATTAGCATATTTTAATGCCATTTAGTAGCTGCAAAAAAAATGAGGTGAGTCAGTA